ATTTAATTCAACAAGAGAAGTGCCATTCACAAGTATTTCTGACAGGCCTTTGTGATGGATTCATGAGTGTCGCCACACTTCCTAAAAGCACAGAAGAAATGTAATAACGGATATCGAAATGTACAGAGAGAATCTCAATTGCTCGGAAAGTAATTAGTTGCTGCACACATGTTTTGTAGCATCAGGTGCTTATTTGATTTTTCCGTCCTTTAAAATGCATATTTACTGAGTGGAATTACTGAGCTCACAATCAGTAGCAAAATGATCGTCGTTTGGGCTTTAATTCAGAGAATTACGTTCATTTTATGATTTAGTTCGAAAAAAAGAAACCATGATTCCTCAGGTGAAACTTCGCGTATGTAGTTCACATTTGCGTTGATTTAATTAAAAGTAGGTAAGTACACGTACACGGAGATTAAAATCAACTCAACCCTGATAATTTGCTCTGGAAAATCCCAAAAATGTCACAAATCCATTTAATTTTAATGTTTAAAAATTAATGGTTTTTTGGTACTTTGAGTCAGAGTTTCAACATGCAAGTATGAAGTTTCTCTAAGCTCAACTCGACATTGAAGTCTCCACAAACAATGCCATCTGTTTGTTAGGTGTTGGTGATCCAGGATTCTCCAAGATGGCTCTTCGCCTGTTTTCGTTATTGTTTGCAGTAATCCCGAACCACGCCACGTCAGTGGGTGGGTTACTAACGGCTCCCTACTTACAGCCCTACCTACAACCCTTGACTAATATATATTAGTTGACATTCTGACAGATGACTCGTCGTTTGCCTGAGATGCTAGACGAGATCCGCAATGAATACCTGCGCTGGAGCAGTGTGCTACAGGACTCCATAATAGTCTATGCTGGGGGCCGTAGTGCTCACGAGGTCAAGACGATCCAGCATAACAACAAAACACCTCCAACTTCTGGCCCTCTCGGCCCTCATTAGCCCATTTCGGACCGAGAAACAGCCGACACAAGTCGTTGAAAGAGAACAAGGGACACAACTCATTCCCTGGTGCTGGCACTGTGGGACCTAACATTCTGTCAAGTCGATGCTACCAATGCAAAGCCATGGGCCATAAGAATGGATTCTGCAAGTCATCTCCGTCCAACAAGAATGGACAGCACCCCCACCTCCACACACATAATAGGTCAGAAGCCAAACCAACCAGCCCCACCATCGCATCCCTCAGCCTACGGGTCGCCTCCGAAAACACATAACAGCAGCAGACGACATACAGAACCGTCCTCATCAATGGCGCTCCCTCGGTCGGCCGCCACTCAGGGCCACCTCTCAAACGGCAATCAGTGCCTGCGGCGGTAGAAATTCACTTCCGTGGAAAATGCTATGCTGTGTGTCCTTCCACGGAACAACCTTCACTGGCATATGTTGTCATCAACACCAAGCTGAAACTCCTTGGTACAATAGGGTTTGGCCGATAACTGATCAGCTCTATCTGCAATGCCTTACCCTTGTCGAAAGCACACTGCGGAAATACCGCAAACATCAACAACCAGTGTACTGCGGTTTCCTAACTTGAATTGGGACAGTGTTCTACTACAAAAACCAACCTCCGCATTTTGCCGTACGACAAACCGGTCTTCCGTCCAAAAAGACCGGTAACTTTTGATTCGTAACCGCCTGTTGATAATGAATTAGATCATCTTGAACACGAAGGCGTCCTCTCTCAGGTCACATACTCAGCCTGTTTCCTCCACGTCACATGCATGGAAAGGACGTGCCTTGGGTTCGGACCAACGAGTGCAAGGCGGCCTTTTGTCAACTCAAATCAATGCTCAGTCCAGACCTGTTGCTGATCCATTATGATCTAAATCTACCAATTGTTGTTGCAGCTGGAGACTCCACCAAGGGCATTGGGAGCGTTATCGTCCACGTTTTTCCAACGGCGCAGAAAAGGCCATAATGCACACATCCAGGTCGCTGACAACGACAGAACAGCGTTACGGACAAACTGAGAAAGAAGCTCTTGCTTTGGTTTTTGCTTTTTGCCGTTTCCATAAACTCATTTGTGGTCGACGATTTTCTCTACGGACAGACCACAAGCCGCTGCTGTCAATTTTTGGATTGAAAACGGACATTCCAACTCACTTTGCGAAACGACTATAAATGTGGGCACTTATCCTTCTGGATTATGACTTCGAAATCCAGTAACGTAGCACAGCCCAACGCCAAGGAAGATGTTGTCATCGCCATTATCTGCGTCGACGAAAATATCACACAACAGATATCTCAAACAGCTAGTTCATTGCCAGTTGCGATTTTTGACATCAAACAGGAAACACACTCGGTCAAAGCACCACGGCAGTCCATCCGTTACGTCCAGGACAAATGGCCAAAGCGCTCTCCCACCGGAGATCTTCAGCAGTTGTTCCAGTGACGCAATTCCTTCTGCGTTATAGACGGCTTAGTGGTGTTCGGAGAACGCGTTGTGATGCCCAAATCACTAATTTTGCCGCATCGGTCGCATAAAATCTATCGTCCGCAGTTACGCTTACTGACCAAATATGAATCAGCAAATTACTGACCCATTCAAGTGCTGTCGTCAATGCCAGATGGCTTTCAATAAAGTTTCCCAAGGTTTCTTCAGTTCTTCGGCCGCAACCACAGAAATCCTGGTCACGCGTCCATATTGACTTTTCGAAACGGATTTAACGGAGCCTCGTAGCTTGTGCAGTGGACGCCTACTCTAAATGGCCGGAGATCGTCCGCATGACTTCCTCCGACACAACCACAACGATATTAAGGCGAGATTCCGGAAACTATAGCCTCTGATATTGGCTCACACTTAACTTTGCAACAAATCAAGGAATTCCGCAGACAACATGCAATGAAACGCATGCATTCCCCACCCTATTATCCTCAGTTAAATGGACAAGCTAAAATGTTTGTTAAAACATTGAATCAGACCCTGCTAAAATTCATCGACAATCTACAGAATTTCTTGCTGGTGAATTGAACACCAACAAACGAGGCTGTACTTGTGGTGTGGTGATGCTTTTAACGTTAGCTTAAATATCGGCTGCAATTATACTGCTGTTGGTATTTCCAACAAATGTTTACCGCCGTCGATTTTGTCTGTATAGCGACGAGTAGCTCTGCACTCCTGTTGTGGAAGTCAACAGTCACTAACACAAATGCAGTTGCACTGTGATCTGTGAAGTCCATTCACTCAAATTCTGCTCACTTGATTTAAGCTCTGGTGTCACGACGCATCGCTGTTCACAAGAAGAAACTCATTCCTCATTGTTAATTACTCAACTCACCAACCTCCTATTGACCAGGCATAGTAAAATCGGGCACATTTAAGGATCCACTTGACCTCCTCCTCGAATTTCGCTTTAGCCCACTCATGTACTCGAACATTTGGTTCATACAGCAAAGCCCACCCCACAAGCACTGGTTTTTCTTATTCTGACAAGCCTTCGAGGTGGCAAACACAGGCTTCTAACAATTAGCTCAAAGAAAAACGTAACTGTTCTCAGTCAAACTTACCTTTTTTCACCCATTTCGTAAACGTTCTCAAGTAGATAATATGGCCAGGTCGAAATTGATATTTTTAATAGTTAAAAGCTCTTTTTTGACTAATCCACTTGAAGAGTTGTCGTTTTTGCAGATGGCAAGCCCACGACATACCATTGGCTCGTAAACTTACTTAGATTGACTGTGTGGGCAGGCGGGCTGTAAACTCGTGAAACAAGACCCATGCTGTTTGCAATAAAGTGATCGGTTTTACGTTCCACCAAAGACTTGTTTATGACCTTAATGCTGCAAATATGCTCCACTAGCTTAAGGCGTGATGCAGCGACTGAGTCGGAGGTTCCTCTTGCTTAAAGACAGCTCCTAACTTTTATTCACCCACACACTGCCTAAGCGCATTAACTTCCAACTATTTATACCATGCCCGAAAGTGTAACACAAATTGTTGTTTGCGTTCTTCGTTGAAGTAGACACTTTGTTAAAATACCTGCCACTGTAACACGCGTCGCATAGCATTGATTTGTCCAGCCACCAATCAGTTGCTGTAAAAAAGCGAACGACTTCCGAAACACCAATCTACAATCCATGTTGGGTTAGATTTTGGACATTAACTAGTCAGTTAGGTGTGAGATACGAACTCAGTTGTTCGAGGGAGGAACTTTTGCATTCTACATGGTCAACCTAAGAGGCAGTCCTTACTAATCGGTGAGTTTGCAATCCACTTTCCGCGAAAGTCACAATGCCCCAGTTACTTCGAGCAAGTGATGGCGACAAAAATACCCACGCGAGCACTTTTTGAGTGCTCTCACCAAGCACGTGAGGAAGTCAAGCCACTCGATAATCTTGAGCTAACTTCGCGTAAAGACATTCTTTCGAAAATTGAATGTCTAGTGTTTGCGTTAGACTCTCGCGATAAACCAGCTGAGTCCGATTTTGTCCATGGAAGAATCATTTGGTATGGACAGAACGATGTACACAGCTAAAAAATTGATGCTTAACGCGACCATTAATGAATTAAAATCATTACGTGACGTTGCATGTGGCGATTCAAAATCAGCAAATCATTCAACTGCTTAAACATGCTGCAGCCCACAGTAGTTGCGCAACATCTTACTACTTTCGAGCAATCCAGCTTCTGTCTGTACATTTTGAAATCTAATTGATGAAATCCATTATTGCATTTCTTCTGTGTTTGTAGATGGGTTGGTCGACATCAATTAATCCATCACAGAAGCTTGTCACAAACATTTTGAATGCTACTTCTATTGTTGGATTAAATGCATTCAATAGTAGCAGATGTACAAAAAGGAAACACTAAGTAGATTGAACGGAAAACGCGAGTTCAACTTCCGAATGCAGTTGGTTAACAAAATTCTTCGATGAGCAAACAATCCGATACAAGAAGACCGACCAAGTGACCGTGGCATGGCTAAAGAAACGCCATTGTAGTATAGCGACGTTGGTTGTAAAATACAGTATCCTTGAAGTGGCGCTGTAAAGACTACCTACAAGCCCTCTAGTTAAGAGTCCGTAACAACCCGAGAAGTGAGTGACGAAAGGAAACAGAGGACACCAGCGTTAAGCAGTGTCC